TTGCATCATACGGGGAGAGGCAGTCCTTGAGGTATTGCAGTCCTGAGATGCTTATGGTCTTATAGGTCAAAGCCAGCACTTTGAATTGGGCCCGGAAACTGATTAGCAGCCAGTGCAGTCAGGCCAGGATAGGTGTGATATGCTCAAGCCGTCTGGCTCCATTGAGCAACCTGGCCGCTGAATTTTGCACCAGCTGAACCATCTTCAGAGGCAGCCCCATGCATAACATGTTGCAGTTACTGAACCTAGAGGTTACTAGACAATAGAATAAGGAGAACACAGTAGTTCTGGCCTGATTCACTGGCCTCATAGGCTGCTTTTACCATTTTATTCTGCTGCTAGCTTTTCTAATGTGTTTTGTGATTTTAAAATTGCTCTAAGCCACTCGGAGCACTATTTCTGCAATGGAAGGCCGAGGCAGACATCCTCTTAAATAATTCCATTGTAAGATTTTGATTTTCTCCACATATATCTCCCCAGCTCTTTAACAACTGGATAAAAGTTTGTCCACTTTTGCCACTGTGTTTACATGAAAATAGAACCTTCTTCTGTCTATGCACTTAAGACTCTTTGTATGGATTTGGCTCAGTTTTGGGAAAGCGTGGAGTTAAAAAATAAAGGGCGATACACAAGTATGTGAGATCTGTTGGATACCATGAATACTCTTTTTAGAAAGAAAAGGGGGGGATAGAGGGGGGGATATTGTGCTCTCCACCCCCACAGCAAATGTTTCCTGTCACACAGTTGGCATTCGCCCCGTACAGAGAACTCCCGTTTCCATTGACGTCACTGGGAGTTCCATGTCCAGGACATGATGCCAAATCCATCGACGGCAGCAAGAATGGGAGGGAGAGGCATTTCACTGAATTGCTGGCATTTTTCCTAGATCAGAACAAACTCCACAGGGAGAGCCAAGGGTCACGCTTTTGGCTTCTCCTATTTCACTCGGACAATTTCACAGGACAATTGGGGATGGATGGAACAAAGAAAGGGCCGTAGCTATTGCCCTGTACCTGATTGCTCAGAGCAATCAGGTACAGTCAACGAAATTCACGCGTGTACACTGACTGCAGGTCTGTGCCCGTGAAACACCATCAAGTCCTGTGCCCATAGCTCAAAGGCATGTCAGACCCTGATGGACCAACCCATAAAGTCCAGAGTGCCAGATTGCGCTAGTGGCAGCTGACCCTACAGAGGAGAAGAGGACCCCAGTTCTCCATAGCAGAGGTTCATAGGCTCTCAGTCCTCTTTTTGTTGACCATCCATCTTTCTGTAGAAGTTCTTCCTTGGTTTAAGCAGTTCCTGAAGGATAGGATGAAAGACAGTCAGATGATGCCTCCCTCGAGTATGAAAGGTCTTGGGTTCCAGTTATTTGACAATCCATACCCTCCAACATTTCTCCAGTGAAAATAGGGGTGTCCATAACAACAGCAGCAGCAGCAACAACAACAACCACAGTAATAGTAATACCCCAGCTATCTCACTGGGTTGCTCCAGACAGTCTGGGCAGCTTTCAACAAATACAAAATAATAATAAAACATTAAACATTAAAGAACTTCCCTACACAGATACCTTCAGACGTCTTCTAAAGGTTGTATCGTTACTTATCTCCTTGGCTCGGGGGGTCACATAACTCCAGACCCTCCAACATTTCTCCAATGAAAATAGGGATGTCCTAAGGAAAAGCGGACATTCTGGGATCAAATCAGAAAGCGGGATGGCTTCTGTAAATCTGGGACTATCCCTGGAAAACAGACACACTTGGAGGGTCTGATACTCTACACAGCCAGGGCAAAAGGAGGTTCAATCTCACCCCACTCCTTTTGTTTTAAAAATAGCAGTATCCTACAGTATTGTATTTGGATTGTGGAGGTTTCAGTTCTGGTCCCTGCTTCACCGTGAAGCTTGCTTTGTGGGCCATAACACACCATCTACCTTTAGTCTAATGTGTTTGTTTATTGACTGACTTACTATGTTTTTAGGCTGCCCAAATGGTTCTCTGGCTGTTGTTGAGATGATCATGTACACAGTTAAAACCACAACGATGGCGCTCAGTCTGCTTTTAGACCGTGGCGCTCACTACAGAGGCTTTTTGTGTCTTTATAATTTATGCCTCTTCTTGTTTAGTAGCTTATTATTTATTGTTGGTAGTTTTACGCATTTTATTGGCTTTGCGCATGGTTTCTGTGTTGTAAAGCACTTTGTGGTTCTAAGAGGCAGAAAAAAATGGGGTACAATTATATATAATTAATATCACATAAAAACATCCGCTGCTTCCCTTCTCTCCAACACATCGCTGCTTTGCTCATTGAGAAAGTACTGTAATGGTCACATACATTTAGAGCGCATGGCTTTCCCCAAAGAACCCTGGGAGCTGTAGTTTGTTAAGGGTGCTGGGAATTGTAGCTCTGTGAGGGGCAAACTATAGTCCTTAGGATTATTTTGAGGAAGCCATGAGTTTCAAATATGTATTAAATGTGCTTCAAAGGTATGAACAATGTCTCAACTTCCTCCAGTTCTTGCAGGCAATATAGAGTTCGGGGATGCTTTTGTTTTCTCCAAGCCCTGGAATAAGATCTTCTCTCCAAAAATGGGAAAATGGCCAAATAAAAATAAAAAAAAAGCATTACAGGCAATGCTTCATCTGCCTGTGCTGTCACTTCCATCACAGTGGCTGAGAACATGAAAACATGAGTTGGCTTTTTCAGCTTTTCCCAAACTGGGCTGGGAGCCACCAGCAAAAGCTTTCCCCTTTCCCATACTGAGTGCCCAGATCTTCATAGGGAGTTTGGCATCATAGTTTGGAGAGTTGTGTGTCTAATGATCCAGTGGAAAACAAGTCCCCTGTTCCTAAATCTTGGAAGGCAAGCACAGGACTGGTTTACAGACTCATACCAGGGTGAGGTCCAAATAGCAGGACTCATATGAGTCATACTCATGTCATGTGACCTTCGTATAGACCAGCCTCCCCCAAGCTGATGCCCTCCAGATGTAGTTGACCTCCAGCTCTAAGCAGCTCTAGCCAGCAGGGCCAGTAGTCAGGGATGATGGGAGTTGTAGTCCAACCATGTCCAAGGGACACCTAGTTGTGAAAGGGCATGAAAATGGGCTACTTTCTTGTTTTAAAGTACCCAGTTTTTGAGGGTCTGACATCCATGTCAGGCACAATTTGCAAGTTCCATAGGGGGTATTATTAGCATATGAATGAATAAAGTAAGCAAAAACAGACCCTCCAAGTGTCCCTATTTTCCAGGGACAGTCCCGGATTTACAGAAGCCGTCCTGGCTTCTGATTTGATCCTGTAATGTCCTGCTTTTCCTTACGATGTCCCTATTTTCATCGGAGAAATGTTGGATGGTATGGAGTTATGCGACTCCCGAGCCAAGAATATAAGTAACTGTACAATCTTAGAACACATCTAAAGGCAGCCCTGTATAGGGAATTTTTTAAATGTTTAATATTTAGTACGTTTTTATATATGTTGGAAGCTGCCCAGAGAGGCTGGGGCAACCCAGTTAGATGAGTGGGGTATAAATAATAAATTTGTTGTTGTTGTTGTTGCTGCTGCTGCTGCTGTGAAGTAGGATGTTCCTATTTTGATCAGAAAAATGTTGGAGGATATGCAATATTAGCAACATGTGAATGAATAAAATTATTTTCAAAACCCTCCACATAGGTGCAACTAAAAATGTCGAACAAAGCACGTCAGAGAGAAAATAGTGGCAGGAAGAAGTGGGGGTAAACTTGGTTTCCCTCCTCCCTCCCTTTTTTGACATGTTTTTAGGAAACAGCAGACCTCAACGGAGCACATTTAACGCTAAAACAAAGCTGCCCACCTTGCTTTCAGTGTCAGGAAATAGAGCCGTTTCTCCTTTTGACACAAGAATGAGTCGAGCGACATGTGTTAAACGGACAATTATTTAAAATAAAAGGAAATGACCTTAGGAACAGCTGCAGTAGCTCAGGCTGGAGAGAGCTGAAAGCACACGGCAGAAGGGCCTGGATGAAACAAGATCACTGTGCAAATGGAATGCACATGGCCTCGTTCCTGGTCTTTTTTAGAACCGGTGTTGCAAAGAACCAGAACAGAACTACAACCTGAATTGCCCTTGAGCCTCCCTGGCTGAATCTCCCATAGGACCACTGCAAAATGTTGCAAAAGCAGATGGAAAGGATGAACGGTGAAAAGGCCGAAGCAAAAAGAGAGAGAAAGTGCGCTTTGAAAAAGCCACGTGCCGAAAACATTACATAAAACGATTTAAAAATAAAATAAAATACTGAAAGATCCCAGAGTCACATGACTCAACTTCCAACCTGCACGAACAGCAAGAGACTCAGCAGGAACCGGGGCAGAAATTAACCAGGCCTGCGCCATCACCGTCCTGCGTGCAAGAAGTCTCAGCCTGTTGATGCTCTGGGTGTCCATATCTTTCATGGCGCATCTGTACAGCTATTAAATTGGATAATCCCTCTGGCCTTTGATACATTTCTGGACATGATTATTTCATTACTCGCCGTATATCAGTGGGATCATAATAAAAAGGACTTCTGACAACCTGCCAAGAGTTTTGTGGCCTTGTAAACACAAAAGTGCTCTAATAAAATTTTATTAAGTGTTAAAAAGTCATAAAAAGTGAAATAACATAAACTACGAAATTTACTGTCCTCAGCAAATGCTGAAAATATCGTCCATAGTAAAATTAAATTAGCATGTAATAGAGAGAGAGAGAAAGAAAGAAATAGAAAGAAACAGTCTGGAGGTTTGAAAGCTAGGGAAATAATCGCATTGCAAACGAATATGAATCATGGGGATTTAGCTGATGGAGATTCTTTCTTTTTATTGGGGAAGGAGAATTTGACTAAATATGCAGGTTAAGGAGGAGGGTTCTAAGGTCATCTGTGTTCTTGAAGCTGTCGATACTTGGCTGAGAAATAATATATTGCTGGCTGCCCGAAGAAATAATGGCAAAGGAAGGGCCGGCTGTCCACGAGGGTGCGCTGTGCGACTAAGAATATCTGCATGCTCCTTGCAGAGGCCGGGGAATCATAACTTCGCACCGAAATAATCCTATACATCAAAAAGAATGCCGCCACTCCCCCACCTTAAAGAAATTGCCTCTCGTCTCTCCCCCGCCCCGGTTCCTTGCAAACTGAAAGGAGGGGGGGGGGAGAAGAAGTGCAGAAAACAATGCAATATATGCACAGCCTCTTCCTCCTGGGAAAAAGCGCGCGGCAAGCAAGTCCCCACACGCTTCCACGCTTCTCACGCAACTTGAACTCCTGGTGCAGAGACAGAGAGAATGAGAGAGGAGGCGACCCACAATGATTCTCTGATTTTTAATGTGGGGGGTTGGGTGGGGGGTGGTCTTCAAGCAGCAGCACCCATCCTTTGGCGTTCCTAAAACCCAGTGCACCACTAGCGAGGATAATCCAGCCCAAGTAAGTTTGGAATGCTTTCGGTTTGCTTTTGATCCAGCAAGAGAGGGTTGTGGGGCACAGTGGTGAGAGGCCAATAAGGTGGCATAGAGGGAGTTTGTGATACATTTCCCCACCCCACCCCGCGGTGTCCACAGAAAATTTGGGACTAATAAGGCTCCCCCTCCGTTTTCTTCCCTGCCATACATGCATAGGCTCGGGGGCAATGAAAGCTGCGGTGCAGATGAGAAAAACTAATATGAGATCCTATGTACCATTTTGGGAAGGGAGGAATAAAACTCCGCTGAACGCAGCCACGCGCGAGCTTGTTTGGGAGGGAGTCCCACTCACCTCAAGGCAGACCTTACTTCCGAGTAAACACGTAAATGTGGATGGGGGTGCGTGGGGAGGGGGGAGGAACTCCAAAGCCCGATTCATTTGATGCATGCTTACTGGGAAGCAAATGTTTTGCTGCAGTTTGACATTGCTTCTTGGTTTGAAGGGATTGCAGTTTTGTAGACCGCCTTGGAATCTTTTCGATGTAGGGCGGTTAAGAAACGTTTTAAAAAGAAGAAAGAACAAATCCTATCTAATCCAGTGGGGTTGCTGCCTCACCAAGAACTGGGCATAAAATAGCAGTTTTAGCCATAGGGATCTGGTATGCCTGCAACTACACACAGTGTGTATTTGCATAAACATGTGTATTGTATATTACATATTTTATATATGCATATTTATATATACATATATACGCACACGCAATAAAATGTGTGTGTGCGCGCGCGCACCTCTACTTTTGCACGATCCGGAATTGAAATCCTTCTATAATGGGACTCTGGATCAAGGACGGGCAGCGGGGGGGGGGGTGCCCTGCGCGCCAGGAATCCTAGAATTGTAGAGTTGGAAGGGGGCTCAAGGGTCATCTAGACCAACCCTCTGCAAGGCAGGCCTCTTTTGCCCAACGCGGGACTCGAACCCACGATTCAGTGTCTCACGCTCTACAGACCGAGCTGGCGCAACTGCAGTTTCCAAGTGGGCCTGGGTGGGGAGCGACGACAGCCCTTCTATGTAATAATAACTAACCCCGCGCCCCATGGCTCTGGCCCGTTCCCCAAATCTCCGGGGAGTTGGGGGGGGTTGGCTCCTGCGGGCCTGGCAGCGGATCGAAAGGGAAGCAGCCGTCGGAAATCCGCGCGGAGCCCTGCCTGCCCGCCCGCCTCTTCTGCGCTGGGCCAAAGGTGCCCATTTCACGTCGGGGGCGAGAGGAGAGCGCCTCCCGGGGATCCGCGGCGCTTCCTGCCCGCATATCCTCCGATTGTGTGCCTCGCCCGCGCCGCACCTCGGAGCGGAGCTGCGGCACGTCCAGGCCCGGCAGAGCAGGCCGCTGGCGCAGGCAAACAGGAACCCTGAGGGGAGGCAGCGCCCAAGGGGACAGCTCGTCTCTTGCAGGATATCCCTTTCGCTCGTTGGGTCCTTGCCTTCTCTTTTCTGCCCTTTAATTCTCGCCAGAAAGGAAGCGCGCGCGTCCCCACGAGGACGTTCCACATATCTGGGGATGGGGGAGAGGCAGGAATGCGCATTTCTGCACGGACAGAGGAAGCTTCCTATTGCCAGCGGACTCCCATCTGTCTTTCATGGAAGGAGGGTGATGTTCAAGGCCAGGCAACACGAAACCCACACCGACCCATGGAAAGCCTTTAGGCTGCAATCCTATATATATACACGTGCTTTTCTCTAGGCTTAAGCCCCATCGATAGCACGCAGATAGTTCTTTACCATGCTAAACAGGCATTCCAAATGCACTCAGTTGTGGGTTTTTTAAGCCATCAATGTGTGCCATCATGAAAGCAAACGCATTAAGCGGTTCTTTTAGAAGACGAAATGTGGCCTGAGAACATTTGCTGAGCCCAAGGCAATGATCCAGGCTGTGTTTCAACAAGCATGTGTGGAACAGAAGTCACCTAAGGAAATCGGAGGCAAACAGGGAATTATTTTCAGAGAAGGCTACTTCTGTACAATTAATTTAGCCTGGGTAGATTTTTAAAACGTGCGCCCAGTTCCATCGTTTCATGAGTGCAAATTTGTTTAAGAGGCCCATCATAAAAATAAGCAAGTGTTAAGGAAGAGGAGAGCAAATAATACAGGCATGGTGACTTTCGGCAATATGCAACTGGATAGGACATCTGTTTACTCCTGTTGAGTTAAATGGTGTTCAGCCCCAAGGAAATGTGAATAGGATTCTAACTTTAATGCACATAAGTGTTTTTTTCTATATTATTATTGTAAGTTGCCACTCCTATAGAAACTTACTTGGGACAGAGTTAGTGTGATGGAACTAAGTGAGACTTACTTCTGAGTTGATTTACATAGGATTGGAACTTTAGAGCTCTGGTAAATAGTACACCTTCTGTATTTTTTATTACATCTTTTGTCAAGCCTCATTTTCTGCTCCCTTCTTATTGAAACAATGCTGCTGTGGACATATTTATTGAATGGAATAAGAAATAAGCTTGATTAAAAAAAACTTTAATATGAGTTTAATAGCCATACTCGCAAGCCACAATTCATGTACTTGAATTGTGACAGGACTGCTTTAGAGTAAGGCAGTATCCAGTAATTAATGTCCAGTGCCCTGTTCCAAAAATGTTTTTTGGAAAGGAAATAGCCAATATGCTTTACTTCTAAGTGACTGTACCTAGGACTGGGGTACAGATCACATTCTAAGACTGCTTGATTATTTTCAAAAGGAAACATTTTAAAAGACACATCTTATTTCCTATGACACTGTAACTGAATATATTGTTCTATGTAAAAGGGCATTCCAAATAATGGATATTTCAAGCCATTATTTTCATATCATACTTAGGAGACTACAAGCTGTAACTGACTGCCTATAATAATATTTATGCTGGAAGCAGTAGAACAGTACAGTTAACACTCCAGTCCTAAACACACTATATCAAAGGAAGTCTCACTAACATCCTAAGGACTTACAGACATGGAAAGTCACTGAACTTTGACAAAGTTCTACATAAACATATAGAACTTTAGAACAAAGATAGATGAATGCATTTATTTTATAAACTGAGTAAAAACCCAACCATTAAAGCAGGAGTAATGTGATGTCTCTTCATTTTGGATAAGAAATCTGCTTGAAAGCTGACATACTGATGCATTACTTAGTTTAAACTATTATAATTTTTTCCAGTTTTCTAGATCTGACAACTGTTCCATGCACAATTAATGGATTTGAGTTACTGTTTAAGTTCCTCAAACAAATTGTTTAACATCAGCTATATGGCAGTTGCATTTTTGCCGAAGGGACGTCTTACACTTGTAAATGCAATTCATCAATGCAAGATGTCTTTGTTTTGTATTGGAGGGAAGAGTTTGGCCTCCATGTAGCTGGGAATTTCTCTTTAATATGCAGGATGTTTGGGTTACCCAATGCTGTGGATTCCCTAAGCAAATTTCTCTGCAATCCCCCAGTTTAAGCAATAACAGAGTCAGTGGCAAAAGACCTTAATACATTCTCAGTTCAAATGTGTAAAGATACAATACAGGAAGCTGAAAGACTGATCTTCAGGAATGGTGAAAGATATATGCAGCAGAGTGAAAAGTGTCTCTGAATCCTGTTATTAGAGGTTGTTGTTTTGTTCAACAGCACTGGGAAATGCACCAAACATGTTACAAATCTAAATATACTATTGACCATATAAATCTAGTTAGGGTCCGAACAAAGAGGCACATGTAATACAGGAGGAAGAAAATGTTGCTGTAGGGAGTGACATCTCCAACCCTTCATTGGGGAATTTTGTTGTTGTTTAGTCATTTAGTCATGTCCGACTCTTCGTGACCCCATGGACCAGAGCACGCCAGGCCCTCCTGTCTTCCACTGCCTCCCACAGTTTGGTCAAACTCATGCTGGTAGCTTCGAGAACACTATCCAACCATCTCATCCTCTGTGGTCCCCTTCTCCTTGTGCCCTCCATCTTTCCCAACATCAGGGTCTTTTCCAGGGAGTCTTCTCTTCTCATGAGGTAGCCAAAGTATTGGAGCCTCAGCTTCAGGATCTGTCCTTCCAGTGAGCACTCAGGGCTGATTTCCTTCAGAATGGATAGGTTTGATCTTCTTGCAGTCCATGGGACTCAAGATTCTCCTCCAGCACCATAATTCAAAAGCAACTATTCTTCGGCGATCAGCCTTCTTTATGGTCCAGCTCTCAATTCCATATATAACTACTGAGAAAACCATAGCTTTAACTGTACGGACCTTTGTCGGCGAGGTGATGTCTCTGCTTTTTAAGATGCTGTCTAGGTTTGTCATTGCTTTTCTCCCAAGAAGCAGACATCTTTTAATTTCATGATCTGCAGTGATCATGGAACCCAATAATAGGTTTCCACTAAACAGCAACTTTTGCCTAGTATCTACAGCACATTGTGCTTTTCCTTCTTACAAGACTGCTTAGAATTTCATTCCCTCCCTTTCGAATCTGGAAGAGCCCATTCATATATTTTTGCAGTAACTTAATTGCTTCGTATCTTTCCAGATCATAGCAGTTTAACCAAGGCATCTGAACAGACAGCATCAACGGCATACCTTCAGACCGCATTTTCTTTTGGAATAATAATAATAATAAAAGCTCACTTTCCTACTTATTTTTAGTTGTTTGCAAAGCCTTTTTTCTCCAGGGTAATTATAAAGTTGCAGAAGGAAGAGTATTTTAAAACATGTAATCCATTAGTTACAGTGCAAGCCTGTGTACAGAAGTAAACTTTGTTGAGTTCAATGACCTTTACTCCCAGGTAAGTGTGTACTGTCAATCTTCTATAATTAGTTAGGACCTATATGCTTCTAGATTTAGTATTTGCATTGTACTGATTGAGAGCTGGAGTGCTTGGATTTAATGTGATTTTAAACCCTTTGATCTCAGTTCTCAAACAGTTTAATAATAACAGGTTATTGAACTGAGCCAACAAAATTGTGGATCTCAGCTAAACCAAATGAAAGACTAATTATTATAC